CCCCCCCCCCCCCCCCCCAAACCAAACGCCCTGTTGTACCATACCTTGTGTGACATGAAAATGCAACCCCTCGAACGCCAGTATCGTAATCGTGAAAACTCCTCAAAAACCAAAAGAGAAAACTCCATATTAAACATCGAGACGCTCCCGCTTGGCTGGAGGAACCTTCAGCTTAATCTTCATCTTGCGCTTCCGCGAATGGTCGTTAGCTTCATACTCATCATCCTCAACCACAACTGGCGTGTTAACCCCATTCGTCTCCACGGTCGTCGCGTCCGTCATGCTCTGCTCCCGCGTGCTGCCCTGTGCCTGCTCCCCAAACTCCGCCTCGTAGTGGCTCTTGATGCCTTCTGCAAGCTCCTCGCACAACTCCCTATCCTTGGGGTTCTCCTCGAAATGCTCCGTGCAAGGCGGGCATTGGATGTAGAACGCGTTCGAAGCTTCCGGGTAGCCGAGCAAATCGTACTCCATGAGCGTGTTGCCGATGAGGGTCGTGTGATCGAAGTCAAGGCAGTCCTCGCAGTAAGCGCGCTCGCACCAGCGGCAGCGGTAGAGCATGCCGCCTGCGTCTTGAGTACCTTGGTGACAGTCGAAGCACTGGTGCTGGGGACAGTTGAACTGCCAGCTTTTGGCTTTGGACTGGTACTCGCGGTCCAGGCAGGCGAAATGGAAAGCCCGGGGGCACAGTTGGCAGCAGTGCAGCTCACCTCCGTCGATGCAGATTTGGCAATGTTCTTGTGGTGTGGGTGACTTCTTCTTTTCGCGCTTCGGGTTCGCCAGACGGGCGTCCTTGCCGGCCATGGTTGGGATAGCTTCGCCCCAGGCGCAGTTCATCGACTCCTTGGAGATGGCGAAACCGTCTACCATGACCGTGGTGTTCTTACCAATGCGTCGGTCCTCCTTGTTGAAGAACTCTTGGGCAATGTCCTTATTGGTGTTATGTCTCGCGCCCTTAGCTAATTTCTTGCCATCAAAGACCGAAGACTCGACACGCTCCATTTCGGACAACCACTTGCGCTCGGCTTCTTCATCAACCTTGGCGTCGGGAATTGCATCCTTCTTGACATTGACATCGGCTGGCTGGTCTTTGCACTTGGCTACAGTAGTCTCCCAATCCCAGCTTAGCATCTCATTAACGTCAATCTCAGGTTTGGAGATGGCAGAGGCACCACGACGGACAAGGGTCATCAGTTGGTTAGTGTTCAATTGAGGCATATTGTCGCCATCTTTGGCTGGACCCTTCTTGGATTTTCTGCCGGTACCGAACTTAGTATGGATGTCCTCCATGGCTTCCGTGACCTTGGCAGAAAGGTAGAGCTTCTTCTGGATTCGACCCATCATCTGCTCCTCAACTGTACCCTGAGATACGAGCTTGTAAATAGTGACAGGATTCTTCTGGCCAATGCGATGAGCTCGTGCCTCGGCTTGGAGTGTGATTTGAGGATTCCAATCTTGATCAAGCAGAACCACATCGGACGCAGTGGCAAGATTGATACCAAGACCACCAGCGCGGGTAGATATCATCATGACACGGTACTCGCTGTCCAAATCATTGAACATCCTGATTCCCAGGTTTCGACGAGCTCGGGCAGTGGAGCCGTCAATTCGCATCGATCGGAAATGGGTTCCATCGCCGCCTCTCAGCAGAAGCAATTCCTCAACCAAGTCCAGCATCTTAGTGAAGCCGGAAAAGATCAGGATTTTCTTTTTCTGCTTGATCACAAGTTCGTTGACCAACTTTTCCAGGATAATGAACTTGCCAGAGGCTGTGATAACATGCTCACCAGAATGGTAAGGATCTGGCTCGGCGTTCTGGATCTGGTAAGGGTGGTTGCAGACCTTTCTCAGCTGCATGAGCAAATTCATGAGTTTCTGCCAATCCGACTTCTTGCCTTCGATCTCAACCTGCTCACGCTGCACGGTTTGCTCCAGAATGGCCTTGGTCTCCTTCCATGCGTCGCTGCCAATGAGCGCATCGTTCTCCAAGACTGCCAGAGCATCGGTCTCTATCTTCATGAGCTCGGCGTCACGTTCCTCCATCTCCTTCAGAGATTGCATGTTCTGCTCTTCTTTGCTCTTAGCCCCCTTGAACAACTCGTCAAGGAGACCTTGGTCAGCCTTTGTAATCATTCGAGTGTACCAGAAGCGTTGCATAGGACTGTATCTTATCAGCTGAGAACTGTAGATCGTGTAGTTTTGAGACTTACGAAAGTGGGACAAACAGGAGCACCTCAGTCTTTGGGGGTAGATTGAGGTCGACTCCTGGAGATGTCTTCATGCGGCGTAACATGATGAGCTCGAGCAGACGACGAGAGTTGTCCAGCACCGTATTGGAGTACTGTCCCTTAGAAAGATTGAAGGAAGTGTCGAAAAGCTCATTTGTTTTGTCAACGAAGACTTCCGGGTAAAGCCAATGCAACAGCGACCATAATTCCGACAAGTTGTTTTGAAGTGGTGTACCGGTCAAGATCAAACGATATTCAGCCCTGATACCATGCAACGCCTTCGATGTGAGACTTGCATGGTTCTTGACCGTGTGGCCCTCGTCCAGCACAACATATCTCCATACAAAAGCAGTCTTAAACCACGATTGCTCGGCCTTGAAACATTCGTATGTAGTAACAACCACATCAACGCCAACGTCCTCTTCGTCCTCCGAGTCAGTATCCAGTGATATGACCTTGGCCGAATTTCTACGCGATTTCATCTTTTGCTTTGCTTGAGCAGTGAGGTTTCCGTACATGTCAATTTGACCAACGACAATTTTCTTCAAACGTTGTCGCTCGTGGGCCGGACCGTGGAAACGGATTGCCTTCAAGCCAGGGGCCCACTTCTTCACCTCAGACATCCAACTGCTTAGAACAGATAAAGGGCAGACAACCAGAAATGGCCGTTGCAATCTACCAATGCCTTGCTTCGGATCATTCTCTTTCAAGTACTGGATGAGTGAGATGGTTTGTAAGGTTTTTCCCAGGCCCATTTCGTCACCAAGGATGCCAGAAAGCCCCTGCGAATATTAGCTTCGTTCGGTAACATGGGAAAGAGTCCATACATTGTGATGGAGATACATCATGAAAGATAACCCAGACAATTGATAAGGCTTCATAGTGGCAATAATACCCTTTGGCTGCGCCTCAAGTTCCTTGTAGGGTGTAATCGTGGGCAGTTGAGCACGCTCCTCTAGTGTCATCTGTTCCTCCTTCTCTATCAATTTCTTTACGTAGTTGTGCTGAGCAGGCAAGAGAGGGAGTAGCACATCCTTCTTGTCCACAAAGAATTTGTTGCGATACGCCGCAGTCTTGCTAGCAATTTCCTGCCTAATCGCATTCCTCTTGGTGACAACTGGGGTTGAATGGATATTCGCCAGTCCGCTGACAGGAGCCGCCTTTTTGCGCGATGACTTGGGTGTTTTCTCTGGATTTCGGACCCTAAGTCGAGATCGGGGTTTCGTATATTCGATCTTCTCCTCATCACTATCGACCTTAACAGGGGTCGCTCTCTGCTCCTTATTATCCACCAGATCGACGTATGGAGTAGGTTGAATTGGCGGAGTCTGAAATTGCGCCTGGAAATGCGCCTGGAACCGCGGGGGTGAAGTGCTGTTGGACTCAGCATAAATAGGCTGGCCTATAGATCCCGATACCTTTCGCGGACTGCGCTGGTCCATCTTATGCATGGTGCTGACCCCAGGGAGGAATTTCGACAGCAGACTAGAGGCGGAAGATCGTGGATGGGGAGATCTTTGCTCGGGCTGGGTGTAATTAGGAGGTACCGGGTACGAGGGGAATGTTTGCTCCTGTAAAGACGGGTAGCTGTGGCAGCTTTCTTCTTGCGAAGATGAATAGTTGTAGTAGTGGTTTGGCTCTGGAGCGGGGAGTCGATCGTGAGGAAGGGTGAAGTCGGGATACGGAAGAGGTAGAGAGGAGAGGGGTCGCAAATTGTCCTGGGGTAGGTCGGGCAGATCTGGATACTGGGATTCTTGGTAATCTGAATTCTCATTCTCCATCTTGAATTGATGAGCTGCAGCTGCAGCTGGGTTGCGGTGCGCTGCCGTTGGTATGTGACGGTTGCTAGGTAAGGGGGGTAGGACGAGATCGAGACGGTTTGGCAGAGGCGGCGATTACGGGAAAAGACTGGCCGTGACGAATTTCATCGAGCTGCGACTGCGATCGTTGCTGCTGCTACTGCACTAGATGAAAGGGTATTGTCTTTGTCTTTGCGCGGAATCAATAAACGAATTGCCTTTGCAAGGTGCGATGCGGTGCAAAGGATGGCAATGGGCATCCAAAGAAGGTGTTGTGGTAGTGGCCGAGAATACTCATTGTAGAAAATAATTATCTGTCTGTTGCTGGCCTTCGCTCGACTAATTTAGAGGGCAGAGATAAGATAAGCTACCTAGGTACCTATATCTAGACTTCGATTGAACTCGATCCACCAATCTAAAAGTAAATGCTTTTCAAGTATAATAATTATCCTTTTGGTTTAGTTATTTAAAAAATAAGAATTTTAGCATTCTCAAAACTAGAGGTACTGGACTCTTATGACGTTTATTGATATCGGACCGTCTTCTTGATTAGCTAGAGCGCGCTAACCGTAAGAGCTTAGTGCGGCTACAGAGGTACAGAGGTCAAGTGTCGTAACCCTCGTCGACCCACGGCTACTATCTCTAACCCACTTGGGCAATAACGTGATCGCTAGCCACGGAATTTTGAAGAGCCTCAATTTAACAGAACCCAATTAGGTTAGAAAAATTGGCTGTGGGTCGACGAGGGTTACGCCACTTAACCGCTGTACTTCCGTAGATTATGCAAGATAAAGCAAGGATTCGATGGCCCAGTAGCATTTAGTAGTAGTATACGGAGTAAGGCGGGTCTAGAAGTGGGTGCCCAGATATAAGGCTGAAATTTACCCCGGATTTCAGAAGCGCTTGAAACGTTGTACGGGCGGCTCTCTATTTTAACTAGTATCGGTTGCTTTATATTAAAAGCCAAAATTGGCCCCATAAAGTCAACCGTGTTTTAACATATCGAAATTTAATAAACTATCGCGAAAATGATTAAGGAAGTTAAAAACATTAGAACCTGAAACTTTATAAACATATGGCTATTAAGCTGAAGACCAACTTTCCAAAATGAAAATAAAGGCATTAAAAAAAAGGCGCGTAAATAAGTTAGCAGTTGGATCGTTTCTCTGATATAATTTGCAGCTTGCAAATATTTCAAGATTATAATTGTATTTTTAATGTCACCAAGGCCTAGTTACTTCAGGTCGAAGTCTGAGCGGTCATTATTACTATCAGGCATAAATTTTCCCAACAGGTCCCCTCTAATATAGCTGGAAACTGCTTACAGAATCCTCATTTCCCCTTTCAATACAAGAGCGTTCTTAAATAGGACAGCGTTTTGCTCTTTGCTGCAACAAACACCGACGCTAGCTCGGAAGAGCCTCATGTCTCCGGCATCCTTGGCGCAGCATACATGTGATCCGGTCGTACATTGTTCCAGCCCGAATGAAACCCTGTTGGATATGTAGGTACATGGAACATGCGGCCCGTAGCTCTGGTAAAGGTCGATTGTATTCTCACTCTTCCACTACTCTTCCAGTGTAAAGAAAATTACAGCGAGTACACCTGTCACAATGGGTACCGTTTATTATCCATGTGCCGTGTCCCGCTCTGATGGGTGTAGAGAGACAGCTACTGGGAGGGATGGGTCGAAGGAGCCAAATACGCCTACAGCAAACCAGAAGGATGATACGCCAAAGGCAACGAATGATCCCAAGGACCCTGGGCAGCTTAAGTACGTTGTGGATTGTTACAAGAAGCTAGACGACAATGATCTCAAGGCTATTGAGTGGAGGCGCAAGTTGGGTGGCATGCTTATGAGCATTTTAACGAAGGATAACAAGGAGTTGAAGCGTATGCCAGTTTTTCAAGCACATAATATATATTACTAACCGTTAATAGGCAGAAACTGGATTCTTAAAGAGCTACCAGAAGGCTACGAACTATGGGAACACTTGAAATACAAAGTTACATACCGGACGGTGAACGGGAAGGAGAAGCAGACCGATGGCAATTTCGAGAGACAAGACGCCTACCTGTACGGACATCCGCAAGGTCGCAAGAAGAGATACAGAAGTCCCGCGGATTTCTTGCCACATCTTTTGTGGCTAGCAGTTGACAAGGAAGGAGACAGCAAGAATTGCTCATGCAAAGTCTGCTCACCGGACGCCAGCGATGAACAAATGGACGAGGTCAAGGGGGAAGATAGCACGCTTCAGCCCAGTATAAATACTGATTCTAAGGAGCAAGTTATTATACCGTCACGCTCTCAGCCTCCACCACAAGCAAATGCACCCGCTGTTGCACTCTCGACACCCAGACTTCAGCCACCAGCTCCTAAGCATGGGCCGTCTCCAGAACAGCTCTACGACAGTCAATCTGGAGGGTCATACCTATATCGACCAGGAGAGCTGGTCTGGTGGGAGAACGAACCCAGCAACAATTGGCGTCTGGGCGTCATTTCAAGAAGAGGCTTGATGAACAATGCACCACGATACTTCGTACAACCCTTATCAAATCCTTATGAAGCACAGAATCCTAGAATCCTCAATAAAGAGAGCTCGCTTCGACCGTGGTTGGCATGGAGTCTCCCACCCACTACAATTCCTATACTCCAAAGTAAAGGCTTCGATGACGTGCCTTGGGACCGTGTTGTCCGAGGAGACTTTGATCAAAATCAAAGCAAAGAATATGTTGTTGACGGCAGTATCCTCGCCGCGCGAAGCATAGACGCCAGCTACTCGTTCTTCGACCGAAACGAGAGCGCGCTGGCCGGCCCAGGCGAAGTCCACTACAACGGTATGTTCTTAGGTGGTGAGAAGCTCTGGGTTGGTGAGCCCGTTCGCATGCGCGGCCCTCCAGCAGCTGCATCGCTAGCACCAGATATACTGGTTTTGGTTGTACATAAGCTCATTGAGCGTACCACACATACGGGCTCTTCGGTGACTATCATCGGTGAAGTCTACAAATGGGTTGAAATGCCGACACCGTACACTAGTCGCACACAATGGCCGACTCCAAACCTACCACCTCGCATGGTAGCCGATCTCCGCTTCCGCAACGAGATCGCGGATAATGCCAAGACGGGAATGTGGTATGAATGGCGCCTGCTCGACCCGCTCGCAAAGAAAAGCCTATTGGACATCAAAGGTCGATGGTACGAGACTAAGAACCTCTTACCTACCCTGGCTGGTGCAACAAAGTTCAGACAAGATGTAGCGCTGGGCAAGCTTCTGGATGCGAATGAGTGGATGAACGCTCGGCTTGACAATAACCCTGTTCCGGAGCAGAGGCGGAAGAACAGGGCCGATACCTTTGGACGGGCAGTGCCTCCCGAGTTCAAAGTCAGCCGTGGTTTGGCTGGGGATCCAGCGGATGATTTGTTCCCTGATCAGATGCAGGCGAATATGGAGCAGTACATGGAGATGGGCCAAGGGCAGAGTCAACAGCAGCAGCAGTTCTATGCCGGCTCGATACAGCATTAAGGGGCACAATAATAGGGATGGATACATGGCGTTGGTGTCGAAATCTTGCTTGCTTGCTTATGGATGGGACAGGAGGCGCAATACAATGTCAGAATAGATACCCGGGCAGGCTTTTTATCATGCGTGACCAATCGAGAATGAAGCGAGCTGCTTGCGATCTGTGTATCCATTTTCCCTCTTATGCAAGCCTCGTGTTGGTTTTGCATGCACTGTGGTCGTCATTGGCAGCGAGGTACTACATGCTTCCACTGCCCCACGAGAAGTAAGACAGACAGTGGTTGGTTTGTCTGCTTCATCAGGACTTGCTGATCTATTCTAACTTGCTCTGCGATAGATGTGTATGTATGCTCCGTCGTGGTATCCAACGCGGCAATGGTCCGTCGGCTGCCACTGCTAGTTTCCCACGAGGTCGACGTCGACGTCGATATTAGAATTTGTTTGTTTGTTTATCGCTCCCCTTTTTTTAAAAAATGCCAGAACAGATCGAGGCGAGGCCTAGGAATTGTTGATCATTACCTCAAGTCATTGATCCCTGGAGTTAATCAAGACAGCCGCAGCAGGTCTTGTCTTAATACTACTTACTTACTTACTCTACATCGATCAAAAAAAACCATACGTCCGGTCGATAATACTTCGTAGATTGATGGATATAGATAGGTAATTGATCCAAATATGTGTGTGGTACTCGCTCCAATATGCATCAAATCCGGGAACCATCACCGAAGCAGAAAAAATGAAAAATAACAAAAGTGGAAGGTGGGAAGGCCACCGAGGTGAATGATGGGGATGGTGGGTATGTGATGAAGTCGCAAAAAAGGTCCGCAAATATACGGTTCAGACAAGCTCCCTGACTGGTTCGAACAATCGACCTGGCGATGAATTGACATTACTGCAATCGCCCGCTCTACCACTGAGCTAAAGGAGCTGTACTGTATCAATACGCTGGAATGCGAATAAAGAATGTATATTCTCTAAAAATTTGTCCGATTGGCTCGGTGCTGAGTTGAGCGGCCACGACTCCAAAGGTCAGCTGATGCTTCTTGGCCTTTGTGACCACCAATTCAAAACACCTTCGCCCTTTCTCTTCACGTGACGATAAGACTTTATAAATCGTAGCCCGAAAATTAAAAGAAAGAAGGCAAGGCAATCAACAAAAAGCAGCAGCATGTGATATTTTGAATTACTACCTGCCCTTTGCATCGAGCAGAATATAACATATGTATTGATAATTGTCCGCTCTATTGAGTGTTTATCTCTAACCGAGTTTTCACGGCAGGTTCAGATCCCAAGAGCCTCCACAAATTGCTAATCGTGTCATCCATTCATTCAATTATCTATTGACCATCAGAGCAATAGAGAGCAGCTGCGGTCCAGGGGAGCCTGTTTTATCTTCGCGATAAATTGGAAGATTTTCAAAGTGCCTCCTTCACAGCTTTCCAACCGGATCAAAAGTGAATAAGTTTCTCCCTTCTTCGCCAACATGCACCCATCCGCATCTCCCAATCGGCTCCGTGGAACCGCTCGACAACTGCTGTAGAGTACTGTCATCGCCGTGATTAGCAAGGAATCGATGGCCATTGCTTTTCAATCTTCCGACGGCATGTCCACGCAACGGGGAACCATCCCGCTCAAACTCGACGGTGTATGTCTGCAAAATCAGCAAGCACTACAGTCGCCAGAAAAATGGAAGCGAGCTGCGACGTACCTCGATGACAGCTTCTCCTTCCGCTCTGTCATCTAGAGCCGGTACATATCCGTGTTCCAAAACTTCAGGAAGTGGGTTGCGATTCGGATATGGCGAAGTCCGAGGCTGTGAGGAGAGACATACGACGTATTGATATGTCACCAAACCTCCGTTCGCAAGGACCAATCCTCGTTTGCTCTCGCCCTCTCTCAGTACTCGTACCATCTCGGTGATTGCCTACTCACTCATATTAGCGAAGCTGTACTCTGACACTTTTCGACGTACTCACATGCATAGAGTAATTGTTTCCAGCCCCTCCAAAAGACGTCAATCCTCCTAACAGCGTGATCGGTTTCGATTGCTTCGTCAGAGGAAATCCAAGATGTCGACATGCCAATTTTGGCACGATTGGGAAGCACGAGTAGAAATCAAAAAGATCAATCTCGTCTTTTGTTACACCCGACACGCGCAGCCCCTCGTCAAGTGACCTCGAGATGGCTGGGCTCGAGTAGAAGTTCGGACGTTCCCAAACTACCAGAATCAGCAACGGATTTCGTAACAGCTGCAGTAATCGCTTACAATTTTCGGCATCACTGGACCCTGCTCCTCCCAACGGATAGATCCATTTACTCTCAGAAATCCCTAGTTCATAAGCGTACTCGGTCGAGGTCAGAATGCATGACCCGGCCAAATTTATATTGTTAAATGCATTCATCAACAGCGGGTCTAGAAGATCAGCGAAGAGCTTTTGATTTCGATGAATCGACGTACAAGGGAAGCAAATCATTCGATTCTTCTTCGACACGATCCCGATGGAAGCTTCGGTTGCTGCCGGCTGACCATAATTCCAGGATAGGGGGTTCTTCTCGGCAACCTTTGCAAAGTCCGCATACAACTCAGCCGACTCCTTGTTATTACCCTGTAGAGACTGCCCTCTATGAGCTCTCAAGCCGTTCTCATACAAGGGGTATACATGGATAGGTAGCCCAATGGAGTGGAGAGTTCCAATGCCTACTATGTGTCAAGCTCAGTCCACAAGTGATAACAGTTCAACGTACTTTCCGGCATCCTCGAGATGTCCCCTGCCGACAACGACTTTCCACTCTTCTCCGGAGGTGTCCATCCTGGAGGAGACTGTCCTGCAGCAGCACAAGCACTCACTTTCCACATGTCAGCATATCGGCTCCACCAAAGATCCGAAGAACACTTACGTGAAGCCAGAGCTTCACCACCAGTTATCACGGCGACTCTACACTCCCGGAACGAGATCCTCCTCGCCGCTTCATCGAGCAGCATGGCGGGAGAGTCTCCACCATGGTGGCTGAGAGTCGTATACCTCGGTCTGACACCCAGATGCTCCGATATCAGCCCGGGAAGATCTGCGTAGCTCCAGGTCCAGGTGTTGACCACGCCCACGCTGTCAATCCCCGACTGCAGTTCTGAAGACTTCCTTGGCGAGAGACCGGTATCTTGAATGGCGGCTCGAGTTGCTTGGAGCATCAGTTTCATCGGTTCGATGGCATCTTCTACTTTCTGAGACCGGTTCTTGATGTCACCCACTCCGACGACGATGGGGACGGCTCTTTGGGGTAACATGGTCGGTCACAAATAGCAACAAAAAGAAAAAAAAGAATGGGATGCGCAAGACGGAGTAAATGGGGAAGCAACCCTTGTGAAAACAGAGATCTTTGGAAGGTTGATCTCCCGAATTTAGACGGTTCGGACCGAGGCTTCTGGATTGCAGGGATAGTTTCACCACGGCAGCCGATTCAATCATACGTCTTCTTCCCTGGCCAATAAAGATCATTTGAAGTAATGGGACTATTCGAATGAACACTTCGTAATGAATAATAATATGGACTCTTCGGCAGTCTATAGAGACCCAGGTCGATGGAGAACATTAAACCCTCCATCGCTACTTTCGTCTCTCTATTCTCCAACACCTAAGAAAAGAATATATATATATATATATATTAAAACAATTTTTTTAACATAAAAAATAAAAATAAAAATAAAAACACTTCAAGAGAGAAAGTATTACCGGAAGGGATCTTATATAGCAATTCCAAGTTTCGATCTTGGGACCTCAGGGTTATGAGCCCCGCGCGCTTCCTCTGCGCCAAATTGCTTTTGTTCTTTCTTTGTCGCGGTTACGTGTTGCTACACCAGCTATCTATCTGCCGATTTCTCGGTTTCTGATGTCGGAAAAGGCTGAACTGAGGTTATATCAAGGAATTAGTTGGATTTTGATGAGGGGGGAGGGAGGAGGAGGAGTGAGTCAGTCATACGGATGAAAGCAGCATGATTTGTCTTTTCTTTGTGAGGTGTTGCGTCGTATTAGTTTGGTGCCCCATTTATGTCACTACTTAAGGTAGTTAGTTGTGAATTGGGTTAATCGTCGGCTTAACTGAAAGGATGAAAGGAGGCCCACCTAAGCGAGCCGACGATTACATAGAATGAACCGAAGGAATACATATGCACAAAAAAAATA